ATATACCAGTTGTATTTCAGTAAGCACACAAAGTATGAAAACCTAAAACTATATATAATTCAAGATCTTTGGACTTTAACTATATACATGTCTTCAATCAAGCATTAAAAGTTTTATATATATAGATATAGAGGAGGTTTACTTTACAAATCATGTTATTTGTACAAACTTTACAAACTTCGTTCAACTAATGATAATTTTTTATTTTGTTCATTTTTTTGTAATTTATAAGAAGTTAGATTAATCATTTTTATTGTGAAGGATGTTAATCATGGATATTATCATCTTCATTATATTAAATTTAGAGAAATACATGAAACAATTTTATTAAAATTTCATAACCATATATAAAACAATTTCTTCAAAAAAAAGTATTATATGAAACAATTTCATTAAAAAAATTTCATAATATTAAACAATGAAATCAACAAATAAGGATGGTATCCACGATTTGTACAAATATAGGTGGTTTGTATTTAATCGCTCTTCTGTCTCTTTATATATACATGCTGAAATTGTAATATAGTACTTAGGAATTTCAAATTCATTTTACCCAAAAGACTCATCCTTTTTTTCACATCCATATATCTATCTATCTATCTATCTATCTATCTATCTATCTATCTATATATATATATGCTTAAACAGTTGTTATCATGACTTGAGATCATGTAAGAACAGTCTATTTTCGTGAGACCCATGAAATATCTTTTTATACTTGAAACTTCATAGCAAAACATTGTAAAATTAACCTTAACAGTGTTTTTGCAGTGAAAGTTCGGCTTTTTCTGCTGTGAAGTTTCAAACGTAAAAAAGTGGTTTCATTGGTTTCACGTGAACCTAACTCGTGTAATCATATATGATATATAAACTTCTCATCCTTCTTACAAAATGTTTTATATATTTCTTGCATGATCCTTCCTTTCTCTCTATAATTGTTACCTTTTCTTAGAAACTATGTATGAACGGCTTAATTATAAATTCCTTATAACAATATTTTTATTTCACAATCATATATTATTACGTATGAAGACAGACATTTGTTCATCTGCCCACATGTACTCCAGCCTTAAATTATAGGACTAATTAAGTGGTCATTAACTACGAATGTTGAAATTCATGGACAAAAAATTGTAGTTGCATGTGCCACTCCATGAATTTCTCAAATCATAAGAGCATTTACATTAGCATAATAAAATTTTAAAACATGCCCCCATGTTGATCTTGTTCCTGGCAGTGTAAATATCGAAATATTCATCATTATGATTAACTATTATGTAGATACAAGTTGTTAAATGTCAAAATGTAAACACAATTAAGGGGTTGTTTGACAGTTGCTGAATGATTTGGTGTAGAATGATTAAGTGGTCAGAATGATTAAGACGCTCTCGTGATATAGTGCAAAATGAAATATAATTGCTTACAATGAAGTTAGGGCGCTTAATGGTTAAGGGAGGTCCAGGATACAAAATCGTTCAGAGGGTTTTGGAACCATTAAAAGGTAGACGTTTTTTTTTGCCAAACAAGATTCACCTCTTAACAATTCAAGGGCCGTCTCATAACAAAACTATTAAGAGGTAAATAAACAACCCCTGAGATTTATATATGAATTTCTTTTATTTTTGCATCGATGGCTTTTAGTCTCAAGTTTATAGGAAAATTGCAAAAACAAAAAATTGATAAACATCTTGATAACTGTTCATCTGAACGGTATCCACATGTGCATACAAATAATTTCGTAAGTAATTTTTCCGGTACTTCCAGATGAATGGATACTGAATTGTTCCACAATTTTTCATTTTGAGAGAGAGAGAGAGAGAAAGAGAGAGCCCCCCTGAAAATAGACGCCACCGAAGATAAATTGATATGCATGATTTCTCGGTGCTACTGGATTAGGTTTATTCAATTCAATTTAGCTAGGTTCTTCTTTATTTTGAAAAAATTGATTTAACTGTAGCTAAGGATGGTGAATTGCTCCGATCCGATGGGAAACTCGACTCATTCGACCCGAACGGGAGGGGGATTCCCCGTTAAAACGGGTCCATGGGGTTCGAATCCCTCCTCGCCCACAACTGGCCGTTTGACCGGGGACGAAATGTTAATCTCCATACCTGTCGGGGACCGGGGGCTATTACTGAAAACCAGAGTCGGGGATATTACAAAACTCATCTCATCACCACCCCGTTGTCATGTCTACCTCTAGCGTAGGTTGCCGGTAATTTTTTGTTATCATAAGGACCTATTTAATCAGTTTCAGAAAGTTCAATAATCTATTTATTTAAAAACAAGAACTTGATCAAAATCCAAAACGACAATGAAATAATCTCATCTTCTTTTATTAAGGTTCTTCTTGTGGCTTCTAATTAAATTTATTAATCATCGTGTTATCGACATATAATCAATCATTAGAATTAATACATCCCGATAGTGATCGACCCATTTTCTATTATTGCATTTCATTTTCTTTGGTGGTCCTGCCATGAAAAAAAAATATCCGATTAATTTGCTTAAAAAATAGCATCTTCCAATTTGATGTTTTGTTGGTACCACACAACTTTAAGCTGTATTATGTCAAACTTCGTTTTCAAACAAGTTGTAAAATGACGATATTGCCATTTTAAAGAACGTTCAAAGGAAATTGTGTGGTCATCTTGCGATATTCCAACCCATCCTTTGGAACAAAATTGGTCAATGGTGGTTTTTTGTTTATTTTTTTTTATATTTGGTGTGTTTATTAATCACCCAAACCATGAATACATACATCATTATGAGTAATTTAAGGGCTGTTTGGCAATTGCTGAATGGTTTGGTGTAGAATAATTAAGAGGCTCTCATAATATAGTGCAAAATGAAATATAATTGTTTGGTAATTATGTACAATGAAATTAGGGCTCTTAATGGTTAAGGGAGATCCATGATACAAAATTATTTAGAGAGTTTTAGAACTATTAAAAGGTAGATTTTTTTTTTGTAAAACAAGATTCACCTCTTAATGATTCAGATGTTGCCTTTTAATAGAACTATTAAGAGGTAAATTAACAAATAACCTCTTATTCTCAAACGAGGATTGAAAATCTTAAGATATAGCATCATAGGTTATTTAGAATCAAGGTTAAAAACGTGCGAGGCGTGGTGTGACGGCGAGGTCAAGACACAAACCTTACATGGCACAACGAGGATGCGGCGTTTTTTAATGCGTGACATAAGCCGGCAAATTTATATATCATATATAGATGTATATTTTTTATATATTATCTAATCAGATAATGATATTAAGAAATGTACATCCATATTAGAAGAAGAAAAATCATATAAATTATTAGTATTATAAAAATAGGTTTTTGATTAAATATTTAAAATAAAGCTTAGAAACGTAATTTTACAACTTCATTTTTACTGTAAGTGCGTAACTTTTGTGAATTTGTTGTCATAATTAAGATACATCTAGAAAACCGCGATAGCTTCGAAGCAACTTTTGGCGTATCTCCAACAGAATTTCCAATTGGAGAGTCAAAAGTCAAAATTTTCGGAGAACTTCTATGTTCGTTTTCAACAGCTTCATCATTTTGGATATTATAATATTAATTATATTATTAAAGTATTCAATACGTTTCTCTTTTCTACTTTCTCTGGTGAAGGTTTTGAAGAATCTGTTGGAGCAAAAATCTACAAAATCTTCATTTTAGATAATTTATTAGAGATGTTCCTACAGGTTCAGCTTCGGTCTCGCTGTTATGTCACGTCTCACGTCAACTAAAACCTTGATATTTATATATATTTGTATGTATAAATTAAATCAAACAATCTAACGGTTGGAAATGTTTGTATGACGCCCCACGAATCCTAGAGCTTCAATAAGCGTCTCTCTAAACCGATTTAAATTTATTCTTAAATCTTGTTTATTTAAATATATTTCTCTTGCCGCCGCGTATCCTCCTTTTGCCGCCACGGACGCCGTATCCGCCACCACCGGATGGTCTAGACCGTACACCTCAGCCAAAGAACTCTCCTCCGGTTCAATCCTGTACTCCAAATACTTCAAACCCATCCCTGGACCCGGTTCACTATAAAAAGCATCTGTGCCCCACTGAAACCCCAGTGGTCTCACCTGTATCATAACACCCCCGTCGGGAAGAAACACTTCGTTCGCTAACCCAGCTCCATGCGCCCCCACCATAACACTGCAGGAGTTTATCACACGCGAAAATTTCTCAATGTTCGACATTTCCTTATCAGAACTCGCGACGATCACTCGAAACCCTAACTCCTCCATCATCTTCACCATCTCCGCTTGATTCAGGAATTTTCTGGTTCTCTGACGAGAAATTAGAAGCAATAATGGCGGATTACGTGAATCGAAAACAGATTTGGTTTTTAATCGGTAAGTTTGTCGGATGAATTCTCTGAAATCCGGCATCGAGTAGAAACCTTGTGGATTTTCCGATGTGTTTACGCCGAGAAATTTGTGGAACTTTAAACCTGTAACAGCTGCCGGAAAGCAATGGACGGTTGAATCGACGGCCGGGTTTATGATTTCGTGATCGGTTAGTCGTGAAAACACTCGCCGGTATTTCTGAATGAAGGAAGGTTTGTGGTCGACGGTAATGAAGTGTACGCGAGATCTGAAAAGGCGAGAAGTGATGAATAAAGGTATGATGTTTTCGTTAAGTTCGTGGAATACGTTTCCGGTGTATCCGCCGGTTGAGAAGATTACGGCGGGGTGTTGGTGGTTATGATCGCAAGTAAGTTGTGACGGATCGGTGGTTGTGATGGTTACGGGAGTAATGTATTTCATGACATATGGACTTTCTTGCATAGCATATGGCCGGACGACGGTGGCGGTGGTGGTGGTGTTGGGTTGCGGTGGCGGAAGATGGACTTTGAGTGTGGTCATGTCGATTTTGACAGGTTTGTTTGTAACACAAACTATAGATGATATACTGGTATCACATGCAAAGCCTGTTGAATCAAGCTTGGTTCGATCTTCATCTGTTTTGGAAACAAACAAAAAAAAACCATTAAAAATTGATATTATATACATATTCGTGGAAGTTAAAACAAGAACACCTTCATTTTACGAGAACACGATAACATCCTTATCACATGTACAATTCAATCTTAACCGTCCATTTAATTTGATGAATATATGATTTTCCATAAAAGTTTTGATTTTGATTGTTTCTTAATATAAAGTATTGATTATAATTAATGAGTCATAATCATCTTCCATAAATATTAAAATCATAATAAATAAACTTTTATCATTTCTATAAATATCTCAATTGATTAGAGAGGAAGAGAGTCCAAATCAGTTACAAACTCTCTAATTGTTATAAATTAAAATTTCATTTATTATGATAACGATATTATAAAATATAAGTAAAGTTCATTAATTGCGTTAAGTAATCTAAATAAAGAAACAACCGTAATATTTATAAAACCATATATTCTCGTTTAATTATCCCTCTCTCTCTCTCTCTCTCTATATATATATATATATTTGGAATCATGTGAAATCAAGGGTTTTTCGTAAGACCCATAAAACCAATTCTTAACTCTTGGATTAGATCTGAATATTTAAATTATATGCATTAATTTAAATAATGATTGATCGGTTACTTGCAGAATGATGGCCTGCAATTTGTGACTTTACAACATTCCAAATTAATAATAAATAATTTATAAAAATGCATTCCCTCAGTAGCGTCGCCCATCTGTAATTCAATGGCAAAAGTTGACATCTTCAAGTTTGTCTTAACACTTGGGGTTTTTTTTGTGGTTTTGCAATTAAGATCACTTGTTCCTTTTCCTCACCACCACTCCATCTTTCATTAAGCCCATCAACATATATTGACTACCACACAAACTCAACCACAAGATTTCCATAATTATATATAGGGTTTGATTCCAGTAGATGAGAAGTTATCATAAGAAACATAAGAAAAGATCTCAACCCTTAAATCAATCATAATCGAATGTCAACACTAAAAAGTGCATCAAGATGCATAAGATCAATTCCCTTCTAAAATGCAATTCATGGGCATACATAAGTAATTTTTTCTTACACAATCTTTTGCATATATATATATATATATATATATATGATTGATTTATGGTTGAATTCATAATTAAAAATAAAGGCAGACGGGAGTGCCGGCAGAACTGAGGTGACC